CTTGCAATGCTGGCTTATTAGCTTGCCATGAGGAGCCATCATCAGAGGGACCAGATGTACTCCAAGTCCATATACTCAGCACAGGAAGGCCTCCACAGGAAGCCACATCATGATCAGAAACCATTTAACTCGCCCTGAAAAGCTATCATCACAGAATCTTGCAAGAGACGATCCAAGTCTGTATGGTCAATTCATTCTCACCCAGGAATGAAGATACCGGGAGCGAAATCATAGTCCAAAAGTTGTTTGGCGAGTGGATAATCAGGATGAGGGAGGCTGAGGTGACTGTTGAGTGGCAACAGGTTAGCTTCATGAGTTGATCTCAGAATGGGAATGATTTTGCCTGAAGGGCTGAACTGCTCAAAGCCAATGCTAACACTTAATTTTTCCAGAGGTGTATTCCAGTTTTGAAGAGGTATATTGTATTTTTTTTTTTTTTGATCACATAACACATTACCCAAAACTTAGCAGATAAGGAAAAATAAACCCGTTATCACATGCAATTCCTATGGATCAGGAATATGAGAGGTTCTGGCTCAGGGTCTCCCAAATGTGGTCCAGAGTGCAGTCATCTGAAGGCTTAAGGGGCCGGGGGTTCTGCTTCCAAGATGGTTCCCTCACATGGCTAGCAAGTTAGTGCTAGCTGTTGGCAGGAAGCCTCAGTTCCTCACTTTCAAGACCCCTCTCCCTACTGGGTTCTTTGAGTATCGTCATAGCATGGTAGCTAACTTCCCCCAGAGTGAGTAACCCAAAAGAAAGCAAGGCAAAAGCCGCCAGTGCCTTTTATAACCTAATCCATGAACTCACACACTGTCTTTTCCGCTACACTCAATTTGCTAGAAATGACTCACTAAGTCTAGCCTGCCCTGAAGGAGAAATGAATTCATTAGGCTCCATCTTTTAGACAGGAATGTCAAAGAAGGACATACTTTAAAACCCACAGTAAGTATCACCTACGTTGTCTCTGCAACTCCTTTTTTTCCTGCCCTTCCATAGCTGGCAAGTCTTCTGCTGATCCATGTACTCTACCGATACATTCATATTATTGTCTTTGTAAATATAATACACATATACACCTTTTATATGTAATTATATGTCATATATGATATAATATTTATAATGTGGATAATATGTTACACATTACACATATCGTCTATATTATAAATATTAATGTATTGAACTTATGGCCAAACTCTTCTAGCATGATAATCATTATGTATCTTTATGCTCATTTATATACCTCCATTCTGCCACCTCACTAGCCAGGGGGACCTGAGGCAAATTGCTTGACCTCTCTGTGCCTCTGTATCCTCATCTGTACAATTAGACTGTAATAGGACCTACCTCATAAGTTTCTTGTGAGATTTAAATGAGTAATTACACGCACAGCGGTTGGAAGAGTGCCTGGCTCATAGAGACCATTCAATACCATCAGCTGTCAGCGTGGTGTCTGTAGTTACTGCAGAATAGTTTGATCCAGTAGTACACCTCGGAAGACTGCCCTCAGAGGGCTATCTTGGGTCCATGTTCCCAGTGGCAGTACACAAAAGTCAGGGTGGTCTTCCTGGCTACACCACAGTCCCACAGCATCCAAGCCCTGAACCGAGAATGCAGAAAGAACCATTTCAGGCCTGGGAGGGACCAGGGCCAGAGGTCTCTTGTTTTCCTTTCCTCTTTCCTGCGCTTGTTCCTCCTCTGGCTCCCAGGTTACCCCTGACCCAGAGTGCTTACATGGAGATAACATGTTTAGTTTGCACTCTGAGTCCTATTTATGTTTTGTTTTTGTTCCTTTTTTTTTTTTTTAAGGCTGACCTTTTGCAGAAGGGTAGAATACCCAAACAGGGAAGTGACCTCGCAGAAACCTAGGGAGTTCCTCAGCCTCGTGAACTTGTATTAAGAGTTGTTCCTACATTGTATTTCTAAGTCTACGTTTTCCAGGGTGTATACTAGCTACATCTGATCATCTGATTGATGTCAGACAGATTGATCTTCCTCTCAGGACCTTTTGCTTCTTGCCAGTGCCTCTTGACCTCCTTGGGCTTAATGAATAGATTTTATCTTTATCCGAAGCATACTTGTAATTAAAAACATGCTGGGTGTTTGCTAAAAATGTATTGATGGGAAGTTAGAGCTGGTGCTTCCTCCGTCTCCCAAAGCTACTTTAAAAGGGAAGCCATACCTAACGGAATGCACCAGGGTTGTCTTTTGTCAGGTGACAGGTAGCTAAATATAGAGTTGGAGCTGGGAGGGACGTGCTGAGGTCACTTGAGCCCTCCTGCCATCCGCCTTCCCCATCTGAATGTCTCCAGCTCTGTGGCTAGCCCGTTCTGTAGCCTCCAGCCATACATGGCTTCTGAGCACTTCAGCTGTGGGTAGTCCAAGTTGAGATGTGATATCGGTGGTAATATACACCCTGCGTTTCGAAGACTTAATGCAAAGACAGGCATGTAGAATGTTTCCTCAATAATTTATAGTTGATTACAAGTTGAAATAGTATTTTGATACATTGGATTAAAGAAAATACATCATTACAATTAATTTCCCCTCCCTCTTTTCACTTTTCTTTTAATATTAGGAAGTTCTAAATACCGTGTGTAGCTCACATTACGTTCCTATCCGTCAGTGCTTCCTTAGGCATCTATCTCTATTCTTCAAGCCTCCAGCACATAGATTATAAGGCTTTCCTTGGTGACTCCTCTGGGTCTTTTGTCATTGTGGCACTTCATTTCTTCTCCACATCCAATCTTAATCTCTGCCGCTTTGATTTGAAGACTTCTACTTCAAATAGTTGGCTCTTCATCTTTTTATGAAATCCCCACTTGAAAAGAGTTGAGCTTCTCTTCATATCGTTCACCTGTAAGCCCAGTAGCCCCATTTTCTTTCAGCTTTTGACTTTCTACCTCTTCCAACCCTGATATTTTTTAATGATCTTCCCTGGGTAATCCTTAGACTCTATATATTACTTTTAAAACTCGGTATCCAAAACCAACCAACATGGCTCTAATGTGGGCCTGAGTACTGCAGAGACAAGTAGAAGAAATTATGTCCACCATCAAGTACTTGATGGTCCTTTTAATGCATTACCACACAAGGAGGGACAGATGCTGTTGGTAACAGTCTTAACTGATGAGGAAGTTGAGGCTCAGCTAGGTGAAGTAACTTAACAAGGTCCCACTGCAAATTAAGTGGCAGATCTGGGATTCATGCCCAGGTTTGCCAGGTTCTGGAGCTTATATTCATTCGTTATATATCATGTCTTCCTTGCCTGATACTTTTCTTTGAATACACCTTTGATCTCCAGGGGCTTTATAGTACTTGACTGATGCATTTGTAGCTTCTGGTCAACAATGATTCTTGTGGGGCGCCTGGGTGGCGCAGTTGGTTAAGCGTCCCACTTCAGCCAGGTCACGATCTCGCGGTCTGTGAGTTCGAGCCCCGCGTCAGGCTCTGGGCTGATGGCTCGGAGCCTGGAGCCTGTTTCCGATTCTGTGTCTCCCTCTCTCTCTGCCCCTCCCCCATTCATGCTCTGTCTCTCTCTGTCCCAAAAATAAATAAATGTTGAAAAAAAAATTAAAAAACAAAACAAACAAACAAAAAAAAAAAACAATGATTCTTGAGCTTGCTTTGTTATGTTTCTGTCTTACTGGAATTGTGAAGTCCTTCTGCTAAATTCCAGATACTCCCTTTCAACTCTGCAGATTCCTCTTGAAAGCCAGTAGGACTGCCCTGCCCTGGCCTATTGTAGGGTAATTTGTAGGCAAGAGGCAATGTCTTCAGCTGTCAGGAGTGTCTTTTCAGGAAGGGAGCTTTCTTTCTTGTGGCCTGAGATCTTCAGGATAACTATCAGTTTCCAGAACAAGCTACTTCTCAAAGGCCGGTCAAGGCAAAGTACATTGTTTTTCCATGTTTACCTAAAGGCAACAAGTGTGTGTTTTGAGTAGAAGGCAACAAGAAGGGATCCTTGAGAGTGTGTTAAAAATGGATCTTCTCACGAATGAACATTGAAGACATGATACCAAGTGAAATAACCAGTCACAAAAGGACAAATACTGTATGATTTCACTTACAAGAGGTAACTAGAGTAGTCAAATAGACAGAAAATACAGCGGTGGTTGCCAGGAGCTGGGGGAGGGGAGAAATATGGAGGGATCATTCAGTGAGTACAGAGTTTCAATTTGAAAAGATGAAAAAGATCTGGAAATGGATGGTGGTGATGGCTGCACAACATTGTGAATGTCCTTAAAGCCACACCACTGCATGCTTGAATATGGTGAAAATAGTAGATATTATGTTATATATATTTTACCATAATAAAGACAACTAACCAGATTTTCTATACATGAAGAAAAATAGCTTGCTTATCACGTGTGATCGGAGGTGGTACTGGAGCTAAGTCCCATCCTGGGTTTGAGATCACAATTGTTTTCTGAGGTAGCTTCTCATGAGAAAGTGCATCCTGCACTGAGATGAGGGGAGTTCTTTCTTTTTCTGACAGATTTCTCCATCTAGGAAGTTTTACTTCACACAGATGCCTTTGCCAGGGTGTAAACTGCTTTTCCACAGATGTCTGGGGTAGGGAAAGCAGCCTTACCTCCAAGGGATCCAATGAACGTTTGACAACACTTGCTTTTCTGTGGAGATTTTCTTATTCCTTATCCCCCTATCTGAAGGTGTGTCTAGACTTTTCTAAGAAAGAGTGCAGGGCTGTAAGTTCTATTTGGTTGTACCAAAGTAGTTGTAGCCTCTTTGGAGACCTGAATGGGAATTAGATTGAGCACCCGAACCTCTAAGAACATTTGTTCTGTGTTTCATTGATGTCAGTGCCCCCTGACATCCCAGAGTCAGTCATCCAATCTGATGAGTGGGCCATTTTGAGAAACATTCAGCCAGGGTACATAGATTGAGACTCTAACTAACCCATAGGAATTCTCTCTACAGTGCGGTGTTTCATGCCATTGTGGGTGTATTTGCTTATTTGCCCCGTATATTTTCCTTTTCAGGAATCATTAACCAATGGCAACAGGAATCCAAGGATAAAGTGATTTCCCTCCTGTTAACTCACCTGCCTTTGCTGAAGCCAGGAAACCTCGATGCAAAAGTTGAGTATATGAAACTGCTGCCCAAAATCCTGGCGCACTCTATTGAACACAACCAGCACATCGAGGAGAGCAGGCAGCTGCTGTCCTATGCTTTGATACATCCGGCCACTTCGTTGGAAGACCGCAGTGCTTTAGCCATGTGGCTGAACCACTTGGAGGACCGCACGTCGACCAGCTTCGGCGGCCAGAACCGAAGCCGCTCAGACTCTGTGGATTATGGGCAGACTCACTACTATCACCAAAGACAGAACTCCGATGACAAGCTCAATGGGTGGCAGAACTCTCGGGATTCGGGGATTTGCATCAACGCCTCCAACTGGCAGGACAAAAGCCTGGGGTGTGAGAACGGCCATGTGCCCCTCTACTCCTCTTCATCTGTCCCCACCACAATCAATACGATTGGAACCAGCACAAGTACAAGTAAGTTCCCAGGAAGCCCGTAAAGCAGTGTGCTTTGGTGACTTGCTGTGTGTGGCATGTCCCACTGCGAATGTCTGCTCTGAGCACCCCATGACCCTGGGAGAGACGGGCCGATGGGAATCGGCTGTGGGAAGGGGATCTTTGCATCCCATACCTGTTGCTCTTTTGACTCTGGAAAGATAAAAATGCTGGGCAGGTAGAAATGAGTGATGGTCCAAATTTGGGTTATAAACAGACTGAAAAATAAATACGTTTGAGAGAAGAGTAAGTGGTGAAAGAAGGAAACTTCCCGTTTCCACGAGTAGAAATGCCTTTTACCCGCATGCCTTTCGCCCTGGAGTTTTTGGATTTGCCAAAACACTGAGTTATGAGTGATTCTCTAAACCTGATTCTAACCCATGGTTAACCAGATGCCCTCATGGGGTTTGTGCATTTTCTTTTCTTTTTTTTTTTTTTTTTCCTTTTTTTCATTTCACCCTGGAATGTTCCCTCCCTTGCACTTTCTGGGTTTTAGCCCCAGTTGTTGGGGGCACTTTTCCTCCTGACCAGGGAAGTAGGTTTGCTAACTTGAGAATGCTGCTCTGTGCTGTGGCCTTTTCTCACTCCGCCTCACCTAGGAGAGGCGGGTCAGGAACCGTTCTGCAGAAAGGGAGAGCAGAGGACAGCTTTCTGCTCTTTTGACCACTAAGGCAAAGTACCCTGCTCGCAGCTGGGACTAGGGCTGGGAATCCTCTGTATGGCTCCCCACTTAGGCTGAGCAAAGTGACAGACGTGCCATTTGTGCTTCTGTAAAGTGACAGTATGGGAGGGGGGCCTGTCATTGAACAGAAATCATCCATGCTACTTGCGTGTGTTCGTGAATACAGTGTCTGCAGTGAGATAACTTTCTCAGTGGAAAGCTTTTGTGGTTAGACCTTACGTGCCTGTCAACATGCAGGAACCCCCAATTAAAAGATCTGAGAGTATTAAGAATTAGCGGTGACAGCTTCTTGGCCTCTACCTCCACTTGGATCTTTTTGCTAATGGGCCCTTTTAAATGGCTTTCTCAAATACATAGGAGTGTCGAATTATAACTACGTTAATTGAAACAGGACCTTAGTGGAATAACTGAGGAAATACTTAAGATACTGCATTCATAATGCTACAAAATGAGATTTTTAATTCCTTTTTTCTCTATTTTTACACTGAGATATTGATAACTAGTACATTTGGGGAATTAAGTGATTATTGCATCATTAATTTATTATGTAAGAGGTTCTGAGGACAGTCTGTTTCACAGACTAGTAATCCGGGGAACAGTTTCACTAGCTTGTGTGTGACAAAGAGTGATGGCTGGGACTGTTAAAGCAGACACATGTAGGCTGGATGACAGAGCTTTTTGGCCCAAGTTTCCTGGGTCAGGGACAGAATCTAGTAATTGTTACAAAACTCTTTGATAGGTGGGAGAGATGTGAGCTCCAAGCTGCCTGCCCTCTCAGAACTTGGTCTTTTATATTTTAAGGGGTTGAATTTTATGTCACTTGTCTTCAAGTTATTCTTGGGTCATCATATTTCTGTCTCTACTGATTTGCACATTCAGGGCTGTGTCTTGACAAGATGTGTACATTCAAGATGGTTATCAGATTGTAGTCAATGGGTACTTTCCTTTTTTACTGTGGCCCTCCAGCCTACAGAGCGGTGGTGATGCAGAAATGACTGTCATGGCCTCCCAGATCTCTGGGTCCCTGTGTAGTACTTGAGCAGAAAAAGACTTGAAGGTTTAACGAGATAACTAGATTACATATGTCAGGAAGAAGAAAGGGGTTGGAGCCCTGTTTCAGAGCATTGGCAAAGAAATCTTAGATCTGTCTTCCAGCAAGTTTCATGCAAACACTTAGGCCATGTCAACACTTGTATTTCAATATCTCTTTAACAAAACATGAATGTCATTGCTTCAGTCTTCTGCATCGTCAATGGTGGTTAAATTGTGTTTGTCAAAACTGCCAACTTTTGGGTCATGCATTCACTCGTGCCTCTATTAAATATCTCCTGAGCACCTGTGAGGCAGTTTGACAAAACGGAAAGGACAGGAACCTTGGTGTCAATGCCCTGCTAAGTCCAAATCTCAGATCTACAGTTTGCTAACTACAACTTGGCCAAGTTACTTAACCTCTCTGAGCAAGGTCCTCACTTGTACAATGAACATTTATGATACCCATCTTTGAAGGACTGTGGTGAAGTTACTTTAGATTACACATGTAGATGCCCAGCGCTGGTCAGAGCTGGCAACAGGGTCTGCTAAGTGAATCAGTGAGAGTGGGAAAGACAGTGAGGAGCAAAGTGCTAACACTGAGCCCAGAGTCTGTGCCTGCATTTGCACCTTCTGGTTGTCATCTGATGAAGCACCTTTCCAGAGCCCAGGGCCATGCAGAGTAGACTAGGTGTCCTTGAGTATGCTGTGGCTTTTGACCATTTCACCGCAGTAGAAAATGGATTGGACTGAAGGCTCCAGGATCTCTTCTATTGCACTAAAGAGCTACATGTCTTCTCTCTTTCAAAATGGAAAAAGATATCTACACAAAGCAACATAATTTATAAATCATAGTAAGAGAACTGAGATCATTTAGTGCTTCGCATTTTCAAATTATCAGCCACATCAAGGACAGCTAATGAAAAGAAACTAACTAGAAGACAACCTCCTTACACAGTTTTTGGGTTTTAATCTTGGTTTATTCCACTAACATTTGGTTCCCTTGGTCATTATGCTCCAGCAAAGTGCCTTAGCATTTGTGGCCTCCTACCTGTGTGGATTCTGCATCGTTCAACTGCACTGAAAACACTATCCACTTTCTGGGTACCGAGTACTGTGTTTGAGTCCGTGGAAAATATAAAGAAGCTTAAGGAAAGTGATTCACTTTCAGGGAACCTATAATATAACAAGAGAGAGAAGGTATATCAATCAGTCTCACAATTAAAAATGAAATATCTTCTTTTAGCCAGACTAATCTGCAAAAATTTTGCATAAAAACCCATGCATTACATAAAAACGCAGCTAAAAAAAATAACAGCTGCCATAGGGCGATACAGGATTGTGTCAACTGAATGGGGGGTCTGTACTGTAAGCACTGTGAATGTTTGAAATGGAAAGATTCTTGTGAACTGCAGGGTCAAGAAAGCTTTTGCAAGAAATGGGGCAAGTAAGCTATGATGGAGATGGCAGGAGTGGGGGGACCAAGGGTAGGGGACATTCATTGCGAGCAAAAGGGTGGAAGTTATAGTGAGCACGCAGGGTTGGAAGACAGTGAAGAAGAAGGAAAGGTTCACGAAGGAAAAATAGCTCGTGAAAGAAAGCAATAAAAGTAGACAGGGAGGGGATCTGAGAGCTCTAAAGAGGCCAGCCATAACACCATCTGTATGACAGTGATATGAGCAATGCTGTAAGGGGGCCTGGTCTGCTATGTGCACGCCAGATGAATGACAAGGGATGACTACAACATCAGTGAGTTTCAAAGGTATCATGGGGATAGGAACAGGCATGGAGCAGAAGAAATGGATGCTAGAAACGTTCCTAGGTATAATTATTAGAATTAGGATTCAGTATTGACTTTGGACATACATTACAGATTCATTTATTTTTTCATTCATTCACTTAGGAAGTGTTTATTGAGTACCTACTATATGCTTAATCTACTCGAGGCACTCGGTGCGTCAGCAGACCAAAGATGCTCTCCCTTGTGGAGTTGCGTCTACACTATTACAGTATATGAGGAAATTATATAATGTGTTAGAGATTGATAAGTGGCATGGAAATAAGAAACAGAGTAGGGTCAGTAGGATCAGGCCTAGATGGTGAGGTGATTATAGTAATAAATAGGGTGGTCAGGGTAGACCTCATCGAGAAGGTGATGTGTGAACAAAGACTTGAAGGAGGTAAGGGGGTTAGCCAAGTGAGAGTCTGGGGGAAGAACAGTCCAGCCAGAGAAAAAGCTTGAGCAAAAATCCCAAGATCTTTTCCCAGCTTGCTGGGGAAAAGCAAGAAGACCAGTGGCTGAAAGAGAGTGACATAGACAGTGGTGGAGCTTGCAGAGGTAACAGGGAAAGACAGATCCTATGGGGCATTGCAGAGCATTGCAAGGACTTTGACTTTTGCTCTCAGTAAGCCAGGAAGCCATTGGAGGGTTTTTGGCAGACGAGGGACGTGACCTTACATTTTAAAGGGATCCCTTTGGCTCCTGTATTAAGAATAAACTATACAAGGGCAAGGACAGAAACACAATGACCAGTTAAGAGGCTATTGCAGTAATCCAGGCAGGAGGGTGCTGACTTTGCCTGGGGTGGCTGAAGAAGAAGGGGGAAAAGTGGTCAGAATCTAGATCTATTTTGGAAGTACAGTAAGTGACATTTCCTGACAAAATAAATGAAGAGTATAAGGGAAAGGATTCAAGAATGACTCGAAAGTTTTTGCTTCTGCAACTGGAAGGATGGAGAACATTTCTATTTATTAAGTTTGAAGGTAAGATTTGGAGTTGTGTCATCTGTGATGAATCTGTGTGTCCATTCGACAATCGGAGGTGTCTAGTAGGCATTTGGATGTATGAGTATGTAGTTTGGGAGAGAGGACCAATCCGAAGATAGACATTTGGGAGTTACCAGCACATGAGTAGCATTTAGAGCTATGAAACTGAGTAAGATTACCAAACCAGAGATGTCAGTAGAGAAGAGGACCAAGGACTGAGCCTGGGCACTTCAACATGAAGGCTGGGGAAGCCGAGGACAAAGCAGAAGAAATGCAGGAGAAACCATTGAAGTAAGGAAAAACTCAGGTGTGTGTATGTCTTACAAGGCGAATGAAGAACATTCGGGGAATGAAGAACATTACAAGGGGAAAAAGTGATCAAGTGAGTAAAATTCTACTGACGTGTCTACTAAGGTGAGAACCAAGAATTAACCCCTGGATTTATCAAGAAGGTATATTAGAGGTAAATTGGGGGGGTACTTCCCAGATGGTAGGCATTTGGGGG